TCCCAAATTTCTTCCCAGTGCCCTCAACTCTCCTGTATTAATAATGGATACGTTTATACCCTACTAAGTACTCTACATCATCAAAAAAGGTCCTTGGTAACATGTTTGCACATGTAAAATAGCATGGCTTTAAAATACACTGGATATTTCTGTAGAATCAAAAACTTGTTAGGTATTTGGGGAGCAGGGATGGCGCAGTACTAGTGAGAGCGCTCCCCTCCCACCAATGTTGGCCAAGTTTGATTTCAGCCCCATCCATATTGTGGGATGAGTTTGTGTTGGCTCTCACCTTGCTCCAAGGGTTTTTCTCTGGGTTCTCTGGTTTTCCTACCTTCACAAAAACCAACATGTTCAAATTACAATTCAGCCAGGATGGAGGACCCGCATGAAAACCAGCTTAGGCTGATGTGGCTTCCTCTCTAAATATTGTAATTTTATAAAGTCTACAAGGATTTTCCAGAGGCAGCACCTCAAATCTCCAGAGCCCGATGGTTAATTCAAGGCTAGACAATGCTATCCACATTCAATAGAGGATGAAGCTAAGGGAAAAAGATTTAAATCCCCAAATAGACCTTATTCCATATGTTTTGCATGGATGTTTTACATGGATGTTTTCGTGGACATTTTTATGGAGCACGAACCTGGAAAATGCTTGTAAAGCCACTAAAGCTACATTGTATGGCCTGAGCATAATTCACACCACAGGACTGGCTATCTCCAGACCATCCTGATATTTCCGAAACCGGGATTGATCTTAAAACAGCTTGAGGATTACTTTGGGGATTAAAGATCTGATGGGTGATTAAGGTACCCCTAACCCTGCACAGTAGGTTGCCAAGATTTGTTTGGCTCTGCCAAAACTCTCGACAAAGTTTGCCTCCACAAAATTTGGAATTTGCTAATCTCCTATGCACTTGAAAACACCAAAATATTTGATAACCACAGGCGTCAATCATGTTCAAAGCTAACACCTTCCTTTGGGTTCAGTTTGCAGGAAAGTGACCTTAAATTATATCAAGAGATAATGTTGCCTCTGCGTTCTGTTGCTTATATTCTTTTTTTTCATCCTTCAAGCCATTTAGTTTGCTCGATGGCAGTTGCTGCTTTATTATGCCAGTGGAGATTTCATCTCTTTCATCTTCATTTGGAGTTGCACAACCAATCAATTAATCAATCAATCAATTTATTAAAGTCATTGCATGGGATTTAGGTTGCCCTCAGTATCCAAGCCAGAGGCTTATATATAAAACGCATGACTAAAATAAAAAAGATAAAATTAAATAAGTAATAACAAAGTAATTCATTCACAGAAGAATCCATTCGTTCGCAGAAGACAGCAAAGGGTTCAACCATATCTCTTCGTTGTCCTCCATCTTAACAGCTCACTTGCTGCTCGCAAATTAAATATTTTGGGGGCTTCTGCTGAATGTATAGACTCTAAAAAGCGAGATCAAATTTCCTTGATTGACATTTTCAGTCACATTAACGCCTGCAAATTGTAAAATCTGACAGCTTTTGACACTTGACAAAAACTTGTCCCGCTCCTGAGGCAGGGCAACAAAACTTTTGAAATTTGGTATGGCTTGACAAACATCTTGGTAGGAAGAAAAACACTGTACACACTTATAGAATGGAACTGATGACAAATATTTTTGCAAGACAAACAAAAATTCCCCTAGTGCGCATGGGCCATAACTCTGTAACATTTCATTCTCTCTAGCCACCTGGTAAATCAATATCTAGTTGACATGTACTAGGGTTTGTGTCATTCATTACATAAACAATATCCTCAACTTAGGGCAAAAATATGCTTGCATATTTGTCCACAGACATTATCTGTTCTGAGAAGCAAAAACTGTGAGCTTTGCAGAATAGGTAACGTCCAAGGACAAATATCTGTGCATATTTTCACGCTAAATCTAAAGGCTATATATTGTGTCTATTATCCTTCAAATATTTTGTACAACACATGCAGTTTTGAAAATTGGGGAATATCCCGGGGGGCGAGAACTCCCTTATATGGGCTATGTAAGTACGTGCAGCCCCAAAGGGTATGGTTTTTCAGCCGTTTTGGCCATAAATACCGTATTGATTTTGGCCATTTTGGGTCTCAAATAGGGTATGGTTTTTGCACTCTAGTCTTGAATTGGGTATCTTTTTTAGAAGAAACTATTTTTTTAATATTATCGGTAAGACCATCAACAAAAAATCCCTTCATAAAGTATGTTTACCGCATTTGTGCTAGCCACAATGGTCATAAATAGGGTTTCGAATTTTTGGTCAGCTCATAAACAGGGTAAGGAAAATCACAGATTTCAGTCATAAGTATGGCAATACACCTAATACCCATAATACCCCTAATTACTCCTAATACCCCTAATACCCCTAATTAC